ATTCCTTCCATACATGTAGTTAGTCTGATTCCTATACAACTCGTCAGGCGAGGTCTATGTAAAAAGTCACCATTTGTGTTTTCTTTCCTTTTTTTTTGGCATTTGTGTTTTCTTAAAAAAATGTATTTGCAATGAAAAAAAATCATTGAATGTACTAGGTTTGATAATTCTATTTCCAGTCTCATTCCTGTCACCAAGTCCATACTTTCCAACAATCTTTCCTTCTTTTTGGTTTCCAACTTTTACATTTAGTTATCAATTATCATTAATGCATCTTGATTGTGCGCTTGGTCAATTTCGGAGTGCAAAACACATTATTTTATGAGGAAATGATTCAATCCATAACGCTAAAGGACAAGAAAGAATGCCCTCAAAAAAAAAAAAGAATGCCCTATTCACCTTTCTATGTCAAGTTTAATAATTAATTGCTGAATGAATTAATGGTAATCATTTACTGTTCTGCTTCTCTCCAAACCAATAGATTACTTCACTACAAAGAGGATTATCAGCATTTTCAGGATGATGAAGCAGCTCTGGAATGCTCTATCACATTGTAACTCTTAAAAAAAAAAGGGAAATTCTGTTAGAAAGGAAAAAGGAAAAGATGAATATTGGATAAAGCAAGTAGCTGGTGATGTCTGGCATATCGTTCATACATGTAGAAACTGTGGAATTGGTATTTGTTTTCTGTGTATGTGTTCTGAACAAAAGAAATAAAATCTTAAAGAAAAATAATTACAAAATCACAGATATAATGTCCTAGTTCACAAATGTACCATATAGGACACTTCATGCAACATATACCTATACAGTTAACTAACTTCTCTGATAAAACTGGACTTGTGCATAATTTGAATAATAAACTTCAATTTATAAAATAAAAAAAGGAAACTGCTAAGTCTAGTTATATGTTACCTGTAGAAATAAAAGCATAAAATTATAATTTTGTAGCCAAAAGTGATGGATCATAAGATGAGAAGTTACGAAGATGTTGATGCCAGAGGCACAGAAAGAAAAATTGATATGAAGAACCTCAGAAAGAGCTAACAGGCAAAATATCAGGCTCAGTTTAGATGAAGGAAATGGCTTTTCCAGTGGTTTTTTATACTTCTATCAGCAAAGCTGAGAGCTTTTCAAGGTTTCAGTTACATTTAGGGTTGTTGTTGTTGTTGTTAAGTGCCATCAAGTCACAGGCAACTCATAGCGACCCTATGAACGAAAGTCCTGGACACCTCCTGTATAACTTCCATCCTTTCTCCAGGTTCATAGGGTTTCCTGAGGCAAGCTATTGTGGAAGTGGATGCCACTCCTGTTTCCAAGCTTGTTTTAACTGGGGAGCTTCACCAAACACTGTCCACCATGGGTAACCATTTTCACATTTGATTCATCAGCGTCACAGTATTCGGCTTCACAGCAACCACAAGTTACTTCTGTACAGCAAGTGGACATACAAGGGTTACACAACCTAGAAGAATGTTTCACCAAAAACAATTAAAGGCAGGCCTAAGGGCCGTGAAGTAGAGTCACCCACCTTTGGCTTGGGAGCATGGCTTTCTGTTTGCTAGGCCAACTGCTCTCTCTCTCTCCTGTTGGTGGTGGTGGTGTTAAGTGCCATTGAGTCGCAGGTGACTCATAGCAACCCTATGAAAGAAAGTTCTGGACACCTGCAGAGCTTCTGTACATAAGGTTGCAATGAGTCACAGGCAACTGAAGGCACATAACAACAACAACATATCTATATCTCTTTATCTAGATATAGATAGATAGATAGATAGATAGATAGATAGATAGATAGATAGATAGATATGAGAGAGAGAGAGATCGATCTTTGGTGGCCTAGTGGCAAGAAGCTGGGCTGCAATCCTGAAGACACGAGGTTCAGATCCACCAGCTGCTCCACGGGAGAAGGATCTCCTCCCGTGCAATTAACTGCCTCTGAAACTCACTAGAGAACCAGCTATGGTTTGGTTCTGATTTGATGGTACACAACAATAAACAATAGACAGATCTATCAATATCTATCTATATCAAACTCACTGCCACCAGCAAGTCACAACCAACCCACACAGTTGACCTCCAGCTGTCAATTGCATAGGAGACTATCTGTTGTTGTTGTTGTTGTTGTTATGTGCAGGGAAGTCACAGCAACACTATATACAACAGTCCTAAACCCTGCTCTATCCTGTGCCAATCTCACTGTCTCTGATACACCTACCCCCAGTACCCCAGTCAATGAATCAATTCATTTTATCGAGGGTCTTCCTCTCCTGTACTGTCCCTCCACCATCCCAAGCATGACATCCTTATCAAAGGACTGGTCCCTCCTTGCAACATGTTCGAAGTATGTCAGACAAGGCTTCAGAATATTGTCTTCAAAGAGCAGCCTGGTTTAACCCTCTGCAGGTTGAACCTGTTTGCTCTCTTAGCAGTCCATGGTATATTCAATACTCTTCTCCAGCACCATGAATCAATCCACCTCACAGAGGGTCTTCCCCTTGATTATCTAGGAAAGAAAAAAAAGCTCAAGCTTTTTAACTGTATTTCAAAGCCTTGAATAATATGACCCCATTCTACTTTTCTAATCTTTATATATCTCATATTAGTAAATATTCAAATTTCAAATTCAACCACTCCACAGTAGAATATTATATTTACATATGACTAATAAAACATGGAACTATCCTCATTAAGTGGTTATCAAGCAAAGAGATGAACAAAACTGAAAGTCAGCCAGTGAGGAAGAAAGAAAGCAGTATGGTGCCGTGGAAATGCTTCTAGAGTAATCCAGTATGTCAAATTACTGCTAAGAAAGCAGGTAATTGTGCACCTATTTTTATTGCTGCTTTGTCAGGTGCCCATCAACAAACTAATAACTAGAGAAGCTGTGGTATATCACACAATGGAATATTATGCAGCATTGAAAAACAAGGAATTCATGAAATAAACAAAATGGGTGACCCTAGATGACATTATGTTGAGTGAAATATCTCAGTCACAAAAGGACAAATACTGCATAATGCCACTGTTACAAAACAGGACTGATATCGGGTTTGGGGGAAACTAAGAAAAGAGGGGGATAAATAATGTACACTACATTGAAACAGATGAGGGAGAGAATTGTCTAAAAGGGATATATGATTAGGTATTATATGCATGACAAGAGTCGAGAATAAGAGCTGCACAGTAAGGTGGATGGGGGTTTGTGTGTGATTGTATAACAATAAAAAAAAACAATAAAAGATTTTTTTTTTCTTTTCAAATAGAAAAGCAAACTGGGGGGAGAGGTGGGAAGGGAGGAAAATGTGCAACAATGAATGAATAGAAATCCAAGTTCTCTAAAATCTTGCGTTAAAATCTCAATAAAAAAAAGAAGGCGGTCACGGCCCTCTGCCCGGGGCGGGCTGCCCTCGGCCCCCGGCTCGGGGCGAGCCGTCGTGGCCCTCAGGGTGAGCTCCTCAATCCCCAGATTGTGCCATCTGACCCCTGGGTGGGGAAGGGGAAAAAGAAAAAAGAATGCCTAGGGTATCCAGAGAATGTTACCTAGGCCACCTTCTGCCACCCTCCCCCCAGTAAACCTGAAAGCAATACCCTCAAAGCCCTTCTATTTGTAACTCACAAGTTTGTTCTCTCTAGGTTTGCTCCCTTTCCTATAGGTAACCTTAACACTGAGTTTTACTCCAGAATTGACCCTGAACCCAGTGCCAGTGACAAAAAGGAAATACAACTGACAGCTAAGGAAGCAAAGGAGGATGGAGCCTCTGGGTTCAACCAGCCATCCCCACTGGACCCACCTGGGAAAACACTCTGCAGTCCAGAGGGGAGCAAATGACAGGAAAATATCTTCTAACAGAGCAAGAAGGCAAGCAGCTTTAACCCAAGACCACCAGTAAGGTGATAAAACGTCCTCCCTTCCCCCCTTTACATCTACGCCCCTGTTCAGCATGAAGAAGCCAGAGAGTCGGCATCCAATTCCCAAATCAATAAGACAGTTGGTTTTAAAAAAAAAAAAGGCGGGTAAAGTTGATGAGCTTTGACAGAAATAATTTCAGCAGAGTGGTGGAAATGAAAGCTTGAGTGGGATAGGTTCAAGAGAAAAAAAGGTTGAAAAAAAAGTTTAAGGTTTTTAGGGAGCCCTGGTGGCCTAGTGGCAAGAAGCTGCACTGCTATCCCAGAGATGCATGGTTCGAATCCACCAGATGCTCTGCTGGAAAAGGAAGGTCTGATTTGGTGGCACACACACACACACACACACACACACACACAAAATAATTAAAAAAATGTAAAAAGGAAAAAGTTTAAGATTTTTAAAGAATTTATAAGTAGATTGTAGGGAAGGCCTTTAAATATGTCAGATAAAATAGCAAATTTTATGCTGACCAAAATGGTTTGACAGAGAGGGAGAAATGAATGTCCAAGAACGTAAAGGAAAACTGCAGATACTTCAGTAATCAAAGGCAATGTGATCCAGTGTTCAAGTGGTGTCATTATGTTCCCTCCAGTAGTTTTCAGAGGCTGTAAAGTCTACATTCTTTAAGTGGGGAAGAGCTTATGATGTGCAGAGGCTGCAATAGCAAGTGTCCCTTTATTTGCCTGTTAATATCTAAGCTTTCCCCAACCACGACAAAACTCTTTTATCTCCTTTCTTAAACTGGGTGACTCAAAGGGGGTGGTGGGACTCCAGTTTAAAGGTAGCAGACACGTATTTACTAGATACGAACCAGCAGGCACGAGGCTTGCACAAACCACGACCTCGAGACCCTAAGACACAAGCGCCGGCAGCCGTTGTTACGTAACCGGCCGCCGCGCCCCCATCCGGGGCCGGTAGTGCCGTGTGCAAGTTCCGGAAGCCCGCCCTCTCCTGGGCGTCGTCGGTGACGATGGTGTAGACCGAGCCCTAAATTTGCGATCTAGAAGCGACTCTCCCATTCCTCACTTCCGCTTCCTTGTCGTAGGGATCGGGTCTGTACCCCCTTTTCAGGCTGCATCCGCAGTGGGTCGCTATGCTGGGATTGAAGAGAAACGCGGTCATCGGACTGAACCTGTACTGTGGGGGTGCCGGCTTGGTGGCCGGCCCCAGCGGCGGCGCGCCTACCGGAGGGCGACTTTCGGCGCCGGGCCGGCGGGAAGGAGGGGGAAGGGAAGCCGGCGCGGTAAGTGGCGGAAGCGCCGGCGCGAGCCCCCCGGCCGCTCTTGCGCCCGACTCCCTGACGGTCGCGCGGCCGGCGCCCATTGGTGCGGAGGGCCCCGACGTCACCGAGACCCCCGCGAGGCCGGCGTTCTTTGCGCCCACCCGCCGCGCATTGCCCGAGGAGATGGAAGCCTTGGCCGCTGACGCCATCATGTCGCCCGAAGAGGAGCTGGACGGGTACGAG